GGAATGCAGCACTCATGCGAATAGCACAATGGTCTTCCAAAGGCTTCATACTAAGCTCAGCTCTCTAAGTCTGACCTTGTGGCTTTCTTACAGAAAGGAGGGTGTCCCTACAGTTGTCATCAGCTTGCCTCACCAGGTGTCTGCACAGCCACTGGCAGTTTCTTTTTGGTTTTTTTTGATCCATCTCACATCTCATTGACAGTAATACGAATACTGGTAGCCAGACCAGGCTATCAATCAGAGACACCTCCAGACTCCAATTAACCTGCCCAGATTGAACTGATGAATCCTTAATTAATAACATGGTTTTTAACTATACTTGTTCGGTAAAGCTACACCAGGAGTAAAATGCCAAGGGGAAAGATCTGAATACAACAGTGCCATTTTTATGAATTGCATTTTAAATGGAATTTCAGTCCAAGTATGAGCAAGGTCTCTGAATGACAGGTATGGTTTATTGTACCTAGAATTGCCCCATTTGTGTCCTTTTTTTTGCTTGTCTTTGAAGTTATGTCTGTTTAATACCTTGCTGAACTATAATTTAAAGCAGCTGAAAGAGCAGGATTAAGAAATACGTGAGAACACTGAGATCTCTGCATAAATAGATGAGGTGCCTTCCTTCTTGGCCACTTTTTTTTTCTTTTTTTTTTTTCTTCCCATTTTGTCTTGTAAATGAATGTTGGCTAATTCCTTCCTTTCTTTAATTAAACCCATCTGGACTAGGCCAGAAGAGCAACTGCCTGGTGCAACCAGCTATTCTAATAACCTTCTTCTTCTGTACAAAAAGCTGGTGCACAAACTTGGAGGGATAGAACATACTTCTTGCTCACTTGCAACTTCACTCCATGGTATTAAAACATGAGCTTTATTTCAACCCAGAGTTGGCTTCACTTCAGCCATCTCCAGAGCTTGCAACTACACTCTTCTAAATACTCTGGTACAAATGTTATTATACACATTAAAAGGTGCCTCAAACTGCTAACTATTATTATTATTAACCTCATTGTTCATGAACATCAGTGCATTTCTTGAAAACGCCCAGATTAAACAGTAATACCCAGAGGCCTCAAGGTTACCTCAAGATGTGGTTTTGTTGTGTTAAGACACAGAGTGGGTTGATGGTGGTTCTTCTGGAGACTGATTCACAGCAGATACTTATTCAAACAATCTGCGGGTTGATCCTCTCTCTGTCACCTCTGATTGCAGGGAGATATTAACCCCCAGCTCAGATACAAGAAGCTAGCTGCTGTAAAGACCCTCCTGCTTTATCCAAATTAGCCTTGAAGAATTTGCCATCTAAATATATACAGAAGTGTGAAAAAGAGACATTGTTCTCTTTTAAATTTAAAGCACAGCTTATTTAGCCAACGTCACAGAGCACATCTGCAGCACAACCAGGAGCTGATCTCCTCGTCCATTAGTCTATGCTCTAGTTAGGAGAATAACTTCCCCCAAAGTTGGGGCACAGCATGTAAAACTGTGTTAAAGTGTCATTTACACTTATGGAAATAGGGTAGATGTCGAATTATCTTCCTGAACTGGGCCCTCCATGCTAGTCTGCATATGAACAGAGCCAAGCTGCAGTATAAATCCCATAGATGAAAGTCTTTGTTAATTGCCTTCATAATTTGTATTTGGCTGCCTTTTAAAATGATTAAGTGCTCACTGTGCCTGGTACCACAAAGCATACGTACCAGAACAGCAGGAGAGCAGCTGAGATGTGTTTCAAGAAAGGGTGGAAGAATACATCCACTTAAGTCTGCTTACCATGACATTCCCAAGTCAAAGCTGCTTATTAAGTGTTTATTTCATATAGCCAAGTGCACCTTGGATGAACTTTGTAACATGATGCCCATGCACTTGTTCACACATTGCCTGGCCTTGAAACAATTTACAGTGAAGGCAAAGTACTTCATCTACGATGCCACTGAGCAACAGAGCTGCAAGACAAATTAAGCCTTTCCAATGGGATGTCACATAACAAGAGTGCTTGTATAATAGCAAGACACCCTTCCTCTGAGACCCTTCCTCTTAGGAGTTCTGAAATTATAAGGGTTGCAGCATACTTCAGACACTCGTTCAGGCCTCTTTTTCAGTGCCTCTTTTCAGGCACTATCCCTGTCAGCACTGTGCTGGCTGATTAAAAGGTGCTTCCTTCTAATTGGAAAGAGAGCATGCTTTTCAGTTCTGCTGTGTAGATCAAGAGGAACATCGCTGCAGCTGATGGACTAAACAGATGTAAATGAAAGGCTACTCTAGGTGAAAATTTTTTTTCCTATTTAAATGAGTGAGGTTTGTTTACATTTCTAAACTCTGTCCCCCTCCACACACACCAAGCAGGTAAGATAACCCCTCTGTGCTTCAGAACGACCCTCCTAGCTAATCAGGAGCCATGACATCCCTAACGCTCACCACCACCAGAACCTCTCAGGACTTGACATGCACACTGAGACCAACAATAAGCCGTCTTGTCTCAGCTGGTCTGTATGACTACAAGACAGGCACACCTGCCTGCATGTTGCTACTTGCCTGTGCCTTATAGTAGACATGAGAAGCTCACCCCTCCCTCCTGTCAGGGCAGGCTATCTTAAGGCCCCTCTCTTTGCACGCAGACAATTACTCTGCAAGTGGAAACAGAGCCAAAAGAAGCTGGTAATAGTGTTTGATCATGTGGAAAAAAAAATGTTTCGGGAAAGCTGTAGAGAACTGACTGAAG